GCCCTCTCCCTGTACAAGATTTATACGCAGCATCTCTCCTTCATTCATGAAATGCCGTTTGCCGTTCGTTCGAGGCCCGCGCGCGCGCACTTTTCGTCTCCACGCGAGGCCTGCGCGCGCGATGATCACTCCCCTACCCCTGCAGCCAGATGGGCTCTTTTGGCTCTCCCTGTGTATACCTATATGTATATATACATGGTGTGGCACGGTATGATGCTCGGATAATGCAGCCGGAGAGGTGCCGACAACTTCCATTGCCGCTTTGCTTTTCTGCCACACACAATGTATACATATACATATATACATTTGACTTGCCGCGCGCACCAGAGAGGCTCCCCCCCGCGCACGAGATTATACACCCGGCCGCTCTCATAACAGCGCGCGTCGTCGACGCGGGACGACGTGTCTCTCTTTGCCGATTCTCGTTGAACACGCGCCGAGCTCTTATCGCCTCGGCTTTTGAATTTTTTTTTTTTTTTTTTTTTCAAACTTTTTTCCTTCGTTTCCATCGATCATTGTCATCTAACGTGTTTGTTTCGATTAGCGAGCGTTAAAATTAGCCGTTATCAAGTGACGGCGCGGCCCAAAAGGCTAATAACTAGGACAAATCCAAGTGCGTGCGTCTACCCACGTGGGATTCAAGAGTAAAAAAACAGTGCACAGTAATATCGTACGCGGACATTGTTGCGAGGCGCGCGCTACGTTGGACGACTGTGTCGTCGCCCGCTGTTATCTCTGGCGCGTGTGATAAGAATACATGTGTGTACACGCGCGAGGTGGTAATCAGTGTTGTGTACACCCTTGCACGGGCGTTTTATCGGTTAATCGATATCGCGCGCCCGCGTGAAAGTGATACCTATGCGTTCAGGGGGCCAAGTACAAATGAAATTAACTTTTACCGCGACATAACTAACGTAAATTCGGTACATATGTGGACTGATGAGTGTGCCCGCGCCGGGTAGTGCGATACAATTGGAGTGTAATGAGCAAAGTGAAACATTAGAGAGAGAGAGAGAGAGAGAGACCGATCGAGAAGAGAAGGAGGAGGAGGAGGTGAACTTGTGAATTGATGAAAAGGAATAATAATAGTAATATTAACAATTGTGATAATTGTTGAAAACGGGCACCGGCGTTGCCGTTTGGTGAAACCCAACGGGACGAATCACCATGCGTATGGGACATGATTCTCAGATCCAATAGGAAGCTCAAGAGCTTGGTAGTGGTTGTAGTAAGAGGAGCAGCCAAACCGGGCGCCGGCAAAGAGGTATACATATGACGTTATACATACATACATTACATACCCCTGTCTCTGCGGGGATCAATAATCAAATGCGATTTGTAGGTATACATCCGAACGATGGATAACCACCTATATATATATATATGTACGATTAAACGGGCGTTTCGGTGATTGTATATTACACTCTTACTTACTCGGGGATCATTATAATTATACGGTATTTCCGTACTACATGTATATAGGGTACACACTCGCCGCGCACCGGTCATCCAATCTATTTTACCGACTGTTTTGTTACTTCCCATATACCGCTTCCGCGCCCCGTGTACTATTGTTGTCCCGCTCTTTCGCGATCCTCTCGTATAAGTATACAGTTACACGCACTCTCCGCCTCTTGTACAACCCTCCCATCGCCGTGCAGCAACCCCCCCCAAAGCTCTTGACTCGATTTTGCCCTCACGCGTATATGTATATACATGTAACTAAGCTCCAAACACGCGTACACACTGCACGTATATATTCAGAGGGGCGTAGAGTAAGGGCTTGGGATGATTATTGCGGGCGCGGATAAGAGCAATTAGCACAGGTGGAGGTATTATATGTACTATACACGTTGCTCTCCTCGTTCGTTTGTGGTATTGTTCCTCGTCGAGTGGGACGTCGGGTCGAGGGTGTACTTGTGACGCGGCTTTTCGGTCCTCCGTGCGTTCAGATAGATCGTTTGGTACGCCGATCGTCCCTCCATTGCCCGTGTACACGTAATAATGTATGACATTTTGGAAGGGAAATTCTGTTATCCGTGTACATGTATAATTTATGCCGTGACCACGAGTACCTTGTGTCTTATCGTTATATTGTCGTTGGATGCCGTGATTATACGAGCGCACGATTAGAAATCGAATGGATCGGCCAGCTGTGGTTGATTTATCGGGTGAAAGTCGCCCCGGCGCGTTCAGGCAGACTGATTGGTTTTATATCAATTTATTGCGATGGAATTTCTATTTTATTTCGTTTCCTCATTGAAAGCGCTCCCTTCCTCTCTTTTTTTTTTTTTGCGCTTGGTTTTTTGTCTGGTCGGTTGCGATGGAAATTAACGGCGCACGTTGTTTTTGCTTTCGGTACACGTGCGGCTCGTGCGTTTTTTGCTCGCATTAGACCTGTCGCACGTGAGGCACTGCAATGTATAATATATTATATACACCGACGATGCCGGAGATGTGTGCATAATGTTTGATCGATACAACTATAACGTTTGCTATACATCGAGCAATTATATACACGTGGAAAGAAAAAATTGTTGTACTGTTTTGTCATCCATACAACCAGTAGAGTAATCGCTGCCAAACGATTTTTCAAGTGGTTTTTAATGGCTCTCGTCGCTTGGAGCGTCGGTGTGACATTTTTAGAGATAAGCGTATACCCACAACCAAACAAACGACAACGTCAAAACAACGTTATCTACAAAATCGGTTGGTGCTCAATAACATTGGAAAATTTACTCGAGGTCATTGTACTTCCACACAAACTTTTCCGAACGATGATGATTCACCGCTAACTATACTTACATTCTCCTTTCTCGTGTTTGAACACTTTTGTATTGTTTCATTGTCCGTTCACAAAGTAACTGTCGTTTTTCCATCCAATGATTGAAAAAAAAAAAGCAATTCATGAGAAACTCACCGCTACGTATCCCTCCATGGTTGATTCTGTCACTTGAAAATCAATAACATGATAACAAACGTGCAAACAAATCAGCCGGCGCAGCTATAAATTTCAATTCAGAAGAGATAAATATGGTGACAAGAAACAAGCCATTACGCGCTTGGAACAAGAAACTGTCTCTCGTTCGGCGCGTATCTACAAATACAAACTCCTCTATACCTCCACCCGTGATAATCCGCAGTCTCGCAACCTTCAATTTTCTCGGATTAAAGTGCTAACAGTCCTTTCTCTTGGGCGTCCCTTCCCATACATATATACGTGAAAAAGTTCTCGCTTACATATGGTCACTGCGCGGAGCAAGCCGCCAACAACGCACTAATGCTAATAATATAATTGGCCTAGACTTGCGGGTACACATCACGTCCACCGACCACAGTATAGTCGTCGACCCTTTTCAAAAACAAACGCAGCAAGTATAATCCATCCCCCGTGTATTATTTCTCTCTTTTTCCGGGCAGAAGGGCAAAAAAGAAAGAGAAAATCCCACCCCGAAACGAGGATACACGCGTCAATTAAAACCACACGCGCGTAGAGAGGACCGGGAGGGACAAAAAGCAATCAACGCACGGTAGACCCGTCGATTAGCAGCGCCCGACAAAGGGAGAGCTCCGACTCCCCCCCCTGGCCTGATTAATATTCAGGCGTATTAGGTGTACCCTCCTCCTCTTCTCGTAATCCTCGACGGTGGCACGGCAGTTTGCGGCTGAGTATAGCGCGTACGCGTACTTATAGCTCTCGCGACAAAAAGGCTTATCCCTCCCTCCTCTCGGTACTACTCCAATTACGAAATTAGGGACCTCTGTGTACTTGCCTCGGGAAAAATCGAGAGAGAAAGAGGGCACTTTTTAACAAAGTCTCCGAGTAAGTTAACGGGCATCAACGACCTGTCGACAATTTGGGTTTATTTCTTTTCATAATAATATGCACCCTTCGTCGGAGATTTATACGTATAAGGCGTCCGTCACAACCTTTACACTACAGATATTATCCGCACGCGCGCAAAAGAGTAATTATACATATATAACCTCTGGTGTTTTTTTTGTTTTGTTTTGTGTACACCTTGAGGTCTGATGTCCTTGGTTTTTCCCTTAGCGTCGCTTTTTCTTTTCCCTTCTCCGTGCGAATTTTAGCGGTGACTTTTTTTTGTCCCTCCTTCGATCCTAAGTACATTAACGGAGGTGAGGCGTGTATATAGGTACGGTAGGCAATTAAAAGGGAGATCGGCAGGCCTCGAACTTCAAAATTCGATGCCTCATTTCGCTCCTAAGGGATCGGGGCCGAGGTGGAGTGGGTTGTATGAGTAATGAGTAGTGAGAACGGAAGCCCCAGGACGCTGTTGGTCGAGGAGGGGGGGGGAGGATGAAGCTGCAAAAACCATCGTCCCTCAGTTCTCGACTCGGTTCAGAGCGAGGAGGAGGTGGGGGGTTGGGTTGAGCTGATTACTCGAATCGGTGCCCTGCGATCTAATTAATCCAAGTTTGCTTCCCTCGATTTCGTCCTTTCCCCGAGTTAACTGTCTACCGTGTGCGATCAATTTCAAGTATCTACTTACTTACTTACTTATACGGCCCTTTGGATACGTTACGTACGTATACTTTTGTTGGAAATTTATAGGTACATTTTATTCGGTTACTCGAGCGTGAGAGGCTTTAAAAGCACGTAACCCGAAGCCCCATCCTCTTTCTCTTTTATGCCATATCAACTCGGGCATATATGACGGGGTTATTTTGGCATCATCTCGCTCTCTTCTCATCCGAATGATGGGACAAGGATTTTCTTCTTTTTTTTTACTATGTACATGCTTCCAACTCGTGTGGAACTAATAGCGTACAAAATTTTGCACGGTTTACGTGTTTAAACGTATACATACCTAGACAAAAAAAAAAAAAAAAAAAAAAAAAAAACGGGTTTTCTGTTTGGTATATGTATATGTGTATAAGAAAATCCCCGTCTGGTGCGGTAAATCGAGCATTCGCACGGAGAGTGTAAGAAAAAGGAAAAAAAACAAAAATTCACACTCCGTCCTTTGAACTTTCAGCTGCCAGCGCCGTTGCCGATATGCAGAGAGTGCCTGGGTACGACGGCCGTCAACACGAATAAGAGCGGCAAAAAGAGCGCCCCCACCTCGGCGACCACCCCACCGAGCGCCAACAACAACAACAACAACATCAACCCGGGAGAAAAGTCAATAAGCCGTTGCAGCGTTTGCGGGGCTGCCCTGCACAACTCGTGCGCCCCGGCGGAACTAGCTCACCTGGTGGAGCGAGGCTCGAGCTGGTGTTGCAACGATTGCTGCTCGGCCAAGTGCGCGGGCTGCCAACTCGAGCGTGAGTCCCAGAGTTACCTCGTCAAGTGCGCCGGGTGTCCCAAGTGTTACCACCCGGGCTGCCTCGAGCCGGCCCCCGACAAGCGCACCAAGGCCCCCTGGCGTTGCCGCGACTGTCCGCCCGTCGCCCCGGCTACGGAACAACCGACCACTCCCGTCGCGTCGTCGGCCGCCTCGTCGCCCTCCGCTGCCACGGCTGCTTCCGCCGGTGGCAAAAAGTCCGAGCCCAGGGCCGAACAGTCGCCCGGCACACCCACGAGCTCGCGCAAGAAGCTCGCCGCCACCACCAAGGACGGAGGCAAAAAGTAAGTTGGCTTTACTCTACTTGTGTTTTTTTTTTGTTTTTTTTTTCTCTTGACTCACACTCGAGCGTGGCAAACAATGTTGTATTTTATCGCTTCGACCGGAAAATTGGGCTAAAAGCGTGCTTTTGTTGATTACTTACGCCCCAAATCGTTAGAATTATCGGGATGTATAATTACATCGTTATTATGTCATTTAAACGACACGCGATAACGCTGTGTTTACTCGATACGTGTTATCTCGCCTAAGTATTATCTCTTTACGTTTTTGAGGTATCGACCCAACAATAAAAACCTATATTGTATACTTTTCCACGAATTTAATTACGAATCACTGAACGCGCTGCTGCACTCTAACGACGTTTAACTGTCAGTTAAACAAACTTTTATGTACATGTGAAAATGATAAATTTTTTTTCTATTTTATCCATGAAAATATTCAAAATTTTGTCGATAAAATAATTAAAAAAAAGCTTCAAAATGATGTACGAAACAATGAAAAAACGAGCATATAGATATCAATATCGCGTTGTACATGCATGATATACAAAAAAATGTATGATACGATTTTAATGAACAAAACGACGGCGACGGCGACGGCGACGACTATGATGAAATAAAAAACACCTGAACGACCCTCACCACACCTGTGTCACCTTATTATGCGCAGGTCAGTAGCATCCCGCAAGAGCACGTCGCTGACGACCCCGACGACACAGTCGGCGAGTACTGGAGCAACAGGCACCCCAGCCTCGCATCTGAAGAAAAATAGCGGCGCCTCGTCGCAGGCACAGCAGGTGGACAGCAGCTCGGACGGTAATGCGGGTGTTGTCTCCCCTCGTCAACCAAACCCTTCCTCCTCTCCCCAAAGTCCAGCCCCATCCTCTCACCACCACCACCACCAACAGACGACGACGACGACGACGACGACAGCTTCTCATAGTGGCAGTGGTGGTAGCGGCAGCAGTGGTAGCGGTAGTAGCGGTAGTAGCAGCAGCAGCAGTAGCAGCAGCAGCAGCAGCAGCAGTAGTAGTAGCAGTGGCAGCGCCAAGCTCGAGGAAAAGAATGATCGCATCTCCAAAGAGAAGCAAAAGTTCTTTAGGCTGAGCGCCTTTAACTCCAAGCACAACAAACTGAAGCGCGCCGCCGCCGCTGCCGCTGCTGCTGCTGCCACAACTACCGTCACTACAACTTCTCCTACAACGACGACGACAAAGACAACGACGAAGACGACAAAGACGAAGACGAGCAGTAGCTGTCCGGCTTGCCCCGATAAGCTTGCCAAGGTAGCTACTGTCAAGGTCAGAGCTGAGACGACGAGCAACCCCGCGAGGCTGTCACGAAAAGCTGCCGCATCGAAAAAGCCGAGCGCCAGTAATCGCAATAGTAAGGTGCCTTCGCTGCCGAGCGACGACGAGGAGTCAAGTGCCGAAGAGAAAGAGAAGAAAGTCGTGGAAAAGGAGAAACAGAAGAAGCAGGAGAAACACAAAAAAAAGAACAAAGAGGATCGTAAGGAAGATGACGACGATTGCTCGAGTGGGTCGAGCGTCGAGGAATGCCGCTCGAGCGAGAAACCAGTGGTCGGTCGTCGACAAAAGATGCTTCAACCAAGGAAGCCTCCTCCTCCTCCAGTCCCTCCTCCTCCTCCTCCTGTCATTCAATCATGTCCTGCTGCTCCCTCCTCGTCATCCTCGGGCAGCAGCAGTAACAGCAAGCTCACCAGCAGTAGCCTCGCCAAGGGACCCTTTGCCTGCGACCTCAGCGAAGACAAGCCCTGGGGCTTTGCAGCCGCGGCGGCCAAGCTCAGCATCGATTCTAGTCCCTTCTTCAGTAGCCTGAACAATACTTTTGGCGCGACGCCGCCAAAACTCGAGCTCGACCTCAATATCCAGAGGTCACCGTTCGCATCGTGCCTGAGTAGCATCACTACTACCACTACTAACTCCACAATCGGGAGGAAAAGCGACACGAGAGCTAACGAAAGTAAAAAACCACTAGTCCCTCTAGCCAAGCCAGATCAAAATAGGGAACTGCAGAGGTCGAAGCCTGGTAGCGGCCAGCTTCGGGGTCTCTTTGACGGTCTAAGTCACTTTTTCACCGCCTCGGGCAGGAGCACGAGTAGAGCTAAACCCGGTGCTCCGCCTCCAAATTATGCGCCAGATCGAAGAAAAAGACAACAGCAGCAAAACGCCGCTGCGACGGAAAGCAGCGGTTGTTGCAGTAGCAGCGACGGTAGCAGCAAAATCAAAGCTCCGCGGCTGACCATCGGTCAGAAAAGTGCGATTGAACCGCTGTCGCCGAAATCCGCGCCGGTCGCGGTCACCGACAGTCCGACCAGAGGCAAAAAAGAGATCACGAAAATCACGAGGGTTCCGAGGCCTGGGATTTTCACTCCTTCCGAGGAGGGCATTGGTAGTCTGAGCGCGAGTAGTCTGTACGAGCTGACGGGCGAGAAGCCGTCGAAAATGACGCCGTCGAATCTCGTCAAGACGGCCGTCAATGCCAAAAGACACGAGCACGAGAGGCGCCGATTGCGCGGTATAGACGGTGCCTCCCTGGTTAAGTGTGCGGTGACAGACGCTCGTAGAAAACAAAAGCAGGAGCAGCAGGAGAGCACGAGGAGAAGGCCAGTCAACGTTAATCGCCAGTCAGAGTCTGGTGCCGCGACCTCGACCACGACTGCGACTAGTAAAACAACAACAACAACTACGACGAGTACCTTATCATCATCCTCCTCATCTGCCACTCCCAAAGCTCATCCAAAGTCCACTCCACGAGCCTGTACTAGCGCCACTACCACCACCAACACCACCACCAACACCACGACACCCCGCGCGACACCCTGCTCCAACAGGAAGGGTAAGAGTCTACCCCACCCGCTCTTCTTCTCTCTTTCTCTCTCAGTCTCAGTCTCTTTCTCACTATCACTCACAATTAGTTCCGGATAATTTTTTATAACCGATTGGCCAAATCAATCTCCACAGTTGTCTCCCTTTCTTTGGAATAACAATCAATTGATGCACTCCCTAAAGTCCCATGACCTCTATTTGCTTAAAGAGTTGGAAAAAAAAAACCCGACAAAGACTTCGATACATCCCTCTAATCTTGAATCCCTGCTCAAATTCTTCTTCTCTGTCTTTTATCTATCTCACCACCGTGGATGTGTTGGCGGTGTGGTGTGGTGTGGTTTTTTTGTGTATGCTTGTGCGTGCGTGTAAGGTGCCATTAATTTTGGTTATTTTGAAATTTTTTTTTTTTTTAGTTTTAGTTTTTTTTCTTTTGTTTTGTTTTATTTGAGACTGACACTCTGCTGCCAAGATATCCTCGTGATGTTGGCTTAGAATCACGATGATTTGGTGGCAAAGTGGCGTCTCTATCACTATGGTATCAACATGATTGTTCTGCCCTGTTGAGTAAAGTAGTTACAAGTTGAATTCAGTTAACGTGAATTGTTGGACTTGAATGGTATACTAGCTTTTGGTAATTTAATTTGAAAAAACTTGGCATGTATATAATTAATTGTATGATATTTTCAGAACAATCAAGTTTTTTTAATAATAATTATACATCAGGTATCACTTAATTTGAAAAATATTTCACTTAAGCAAATTTAAGCTACGTAGATTATCGACTTATGAATACACATGATAGCATCACCCTTTTTTGAATTTTGGTAATTTTGAATTCACTGCATGTTATCGTTTACCTGTTGCAGCACAGCTTTGCTGAGTAATTGTTTGTCAAAATTATATAAACAAACACTTTGTTTAAAACCAATTTTATGAAAATTAATCAGATTAAATATTTGGACGACTTACGTACATGCATTGAAATTATTAAGCAATATTTTTTGGTCATATTAAAATAAAAACTTTATATTATCTTAATAATAATAATAATAATAAATAGCAGAAAATTTTATATTCGATCATGTCTTTCACATGATGTATTTACTTTTTTGCATATTCCTGGTGCTTAGCAATACGTCAAGGATCCAACCTGCAGCCGATGACGCTAGCAGGCTCGTATCGATACGTAAAGCCGTCGGAATTATTTTCAAGTAACACGCAAATGCTTGTGCCATCAAGAGAAGATCTCTCCCCTGTTTATCAGAGTTTGCTACCCCGGATATTTTGCCAACACATCCCAAAACATAGTCCTAGAAGCTTTGCTTTGTCAATCATATCGCATTTTTTTTTTATATTTGATGGTTTATTTACATTTTTTTTTTTTTTAGTACTTTTTGTTGTGAATAATTTTTTTTTTTTTGCTTCACTTAGCTAAATACCTTATTGCAATCCTGAACTAAAACAATTTAATATTGTTAAATTTTCAGTTTGACACATGTATATTTTTAACCCAATAATCATTAATGCACACTGTATTTATTAATGTATCGCGTTTTCTTTATTGGAATCAATCGATTTGATAACTCAATTTTCACTGCATCATTGATTTTCAAAATTCAAGCCAAGTATTATTTTTCATTTGTTTATTGAAATCTGTTATAAAATTGAAAGAGAAATTCCGTTCTAAAAGTTGATTTTTCATAAATTCACCTTACATGGTACCATAAGACTTACGAAAAAAAATGAAAAGAAGAAAAAAAATATATATTACTACCCCAACATTTAAACAGACATTGTTAAAAACCGTAAATTCCATTCGCGCAGACGAGCTGGTCTTACCTCCAACCTTGCCGCCCGGTGTTACCCAAAAGGACGTGGAATTATTCAAAGACGCCCGAGAACGCGCGAATCAGCTGACTCTTGCCGAGAGTTGCGACGTAAAGGATGGTGCAACTCCAGTGAACGTGAGTCCAGGCGGCGCAGGTACCCGGAATCCAGCGGCCATCGTCTTCGGCCGCTACGAGGTCGAGACTTGGTACTCTAGTCCGTTTCCTCAAGAGTACGCTAGACTACCCAAGCTCTTCTTCTGCGAGTTTTGTCTCAAGTACACCAAGAGCCGGGCTGTGCTCGACAGACACATGGACAAATGCAAGTGGAGGCATCCACCTGCCACAGAAATCTATCGTTGCAACGGACTATCAGTATTTGAGGTGAGTCTTTTTTCCGTTTTGCGACCGTGTACCGATAAAGTTTTCATACTATACAGTGTTTTTCCACCTTTGTTTCAGATTGACGGTAACGTAAATAAAATCTACTGTCAAAACCTGTGCCTCTTAGCCAAACTGTTCCTCGACCACAAGACCCTGTACTACGACGTAGAACCATTCCTCTTCTACGCGGTGACCAAGAACGACAAACACGGTTGCCACCTGGTCGGCTACTTCAGCAAAGAGAAACACTGTCCAGCACAGCGCTACAACGTATCCTGCATCATGACTCTACCTCAGTACCAGCGTCAGGGCTATGGTCGCTTTCTCATCGAGTTCAGTTACCTACTGTCCAAGGTCGAGGGTATACCCGGTACCCCGGAGAAGCCACTTTCGGATCTCGGTCGCGTCTCTTACCATTCGTTTTGGAAAAGCGTTGTGCTCGAGTACCTGGACACACATCGCGACGCCACAGAGCTCAAAATCACGGACATCACCAAGGTGAGCAGTCTTAACAAATTTACAGTTCAATACGAAACTTTGGGAATTTTAATTATTTATTCGTATCACGTTAGGAAACTGGTGTTTCGGGCCACGACATCACCACGGCAATGCAACTGTTGGGCTTCCTGCGCAACGTACCGCGCGGACCCAACGATTCTACGAGACAGCTTGCTGTGTTGGTCGATTGGCAGAAAGTAGATATACACATGGCCAAAGTGCGCAAGAGCACCCGCATCCAGCTGGATCCTGACTGTCTACGCTGGATACCGTTGCTCACGCAATTGCCGAATGCTTACCAAAGTCCTGAAGAGGGTGGCGACACGAGCTCCGAAACAGCTTCGCCTGAGAAGGATCAGCCGTGCGTTATCAATAAACCGGTGGCGGCAATGGCTGAGAAGGTGCAGCGCATTAAGATCAGAAAAAAGTTCAGAGGTCGGAAGATAACTGGAACTCACAGGAGGACGATGCCTCCGAAAATGAGGACGCCGGTGCACAGGCCAAAGTTGGCAAAGGTTCAAAAAGAGGTATGTACCTCTACCGTTTGTGTGAGAGAAATTAAAAAAAAACTTCATTTTTGTTGAGTTTAAATCAACTTTTTCGAACATTACTTTTCAGAAGGAGCCAAAGTTAGCGGATAAGAGTTCGGGAAGCATAGCTGACACGGAAGAGGATTTTAATGACGTCACTGTAACAGAGGCCAAAAGTCCCGTGGTAGTGTCTAAATCTTCAAAAACCCCTACCTCTTCTAAAACATTTCAAAGCACAGTCAGCACAACTACCACTCCAGTAGTAACGAATCTCACAGTGTCCCTGACCGCAACTCCAAATGTGACTCCTGTTCAATCGTCCAGAAGAAGCGTGAGAACAGCTATGAAGACGCCTACGGCAGCAGCAACTGCTACACCCGCGACAGAATCGACAGCGTTGACTACTCCCTCGAGAAAACGTAAACATTCCGAAAAGACTGAACTCGAAGAGAAAGCAGAGGATACCGTTGTGAGCAGAAAACGAACTCGAGAATCGTGGCGTGACAAGGAAAAAGACAAGGAGAAAGAAGGCAAAAAGAGGGAAAAGCCGAAAGAAAAAGAAGTGAAGGAGAAGGTGAAACCTCCAGATAAGGTTGGAATCAAAGAAAGTGCAAGACTGAAGGAGCGTGAGGCTGCAAAGGCATCAGATTCGTTAGCTTCGAGACTAAGATCGCCTCCGCCCAAAGAATCGTCTCCCAGTAGTCCCGTGAGGGTTAAAAAGCAGACCAAAATCGACGAAATACTGACGAAAATAACCACGCCAACCAGAACGTCCAAATTCTTTCCCTCGAGAGCAAGAGAGAAGAGGGCCAGTCTTGCGCAGAGTGCCGAAGAGTCTCCGCAAAATCACACCGCTCGAGGAGTTAAGAAAGATGCTGTCGAAGTGTCGAAAGAATCACCTGTATCATCGAGACGTGGTAGGCCAAAGGTTGACTCAAAGATACTTATCAAGGAGGTGGCGACAACTGCCGTTAAGACAGATGATCTTCCGGAGGTCGTTGCTTCTCCAAAAGTCGATGAAATCAAAACTAGCAAGAAGCAACTTACGATTCCAGATATGTTCTCGACCGCTGCTGCTGTTACCGTTGCTTCTTCTACTTCGTTGTCAATTACCACGCCTGTAGATGATTCTGCTATCAATAAGAGTGATTCGCTTGATGATGGCCTTGTAGTAGGTACAACCTCGACTACCGTAGATAACGAACTAACCGCGAGTCCTGGAGAGTACGAAGGAGGCGACGAGGACGATGGTGATGAAGATGAATTTGTGCCCAGGGCCAAAGTCGCTAGCGTTATACAATCTCTTGATGCTGCTATCGAAAGTGCGGATCAAGAAATTTTAGAGGAGAGTGAAAAGTTGAGAGCTAAGGAATTGTTGGAATCACGTGAGTTATCTAAGGATGTTGCGATGGAAATCGAGCCCGAAATCACGCCAGAGAAAGTAGAAGAACCAGAAAAAGTGATCGAGACTCTGTCAAAGTATGAGCAAATAAAGTCTGTGCAACCAACTCAAATTAGTGAACCTATGGACATTGAACCTATTCTAGATACTGGTACTAACATCGAGGTAAATATTGAAAATAAAATTCACAAACAGTCGATGCCAATAGAAGATTGCAGTAAACAAGAGTCACAAATTGATACTTGTGAAGACGTAGTTGAACCTAAGGAAAATTTATCAGAAACAAAAGTTGAACCTATACCACCTATATTCGTAGAAAAGAAAGATTATCAACCATCTGCAATGAGCAATCATCCAAGTGTGATCGAAACGCCCGAATGTCAGCCTGTGATAATGCCTCAAGAGAAAGTTGCCACTGTGATTGCTGATCATCATCACCATGAAGTAACGCAAGTGCACTCCCACCCCGAAGAAAAGCTCCATTCGCCAGAGAGCGGTAAAACAACACCGCATCCTGAAAATCCAAGTTCAGTTAAACGAACGCCTCCATCTCAGCCAGATCTACCATCGATGGGTGTGTACACGCCAGATTCAACGACGAATTCGGTGCATTCTTTGCATTATGGTCAGTGTGATTTGGATGTAAGCCAGTTGGGCCTTGAATCACCGACGTCTATCGCGAGCGATCTGGCTTCGCAAAACAGCGTCGAGAGGCCACCCAGTGCTCTGCCAACGATGCAAAGTCAACAGGCACCTCAAACGGTTTCGGTGCCTTCTATCTCTGCCGCGTCCATACAGATGAGCGCAGCTGTTGCAATAAACGCGAACGTTCAACAGCAACAACATCAACATCACCAGCAGCAGCACCAACAAAATAATCTGCATCCGGTGAACCTGCCAGCTCAACAGGTGCAGCAGCAATATGTTGAGTGTTCCATGCCTCAGCATACTCCCCCACACGTGGCTATCCAGCAGCATCAACAACACCAGATGCAGCACGTGGATAAGAACCCATACGTGAGTATTGATACTTATGAAATAAAATTATTTAAAAAGCAGCACTTTCGTAAACCCAATGACATTTTCGTTTTTCAGCATCAACAGCAGCCACTGACGCCGCAACCTCTACAGCAGCCCCGAACGCCACAATCACATACGCCACAGAGTTTACCGACGCATAGTCCTCAACCAATGCCACAACAACCGCACACGCCGCAACCGTTGTCTCAGCCTCATACGCCACAGCCCATATCTCAAACTCACACACCTGTTCAGTGCCATACACCGCAGCCTCTAACGCCTCAGCCTGTCCAATTATCGATTATTCAGCAACAGCAGCAGCAGCAGCAGCAACAGCAACAACAACAACAACAACAACAACAACAACAACAACAACAACAGGCAAGAAGTCAGGCTTTACTTCATGCACACAGTCAACAGCATCAGGCGCAAGCGCAGCAGCAACAGTCGGTGCATCATCAACAATCCACTCATCAGCAGCAGCAGCAGCAACAACAACAACAACAACAGGTGGCACATCAACAACATCAACAGGCGCATTCTCATAGCAGTAAACGAGCAAGTGGTTCACAAAGGTAATAAAATTTATTGCTATGACTTATCTTTCAACATAGTAAAAAACCAAATTAATTTTTTTTTATTCACCATAGATCCAGGGCGCAGCAGAGTAAGGCACATCGAAACAATCCACCATCATCGCAAGCAGCAGCAGGAGCAGTAGCAGCAGCAGTGGCAGCAGCGGTTGCAGCTCAAAGTAGCAGTCAACACGCTAGTCTTGTCGCTGCTTCACACAACAGTCACTTACCACCTCAATATCAACAATCGACGTCGATGTCAGTGACAGGCATGGGCCATCCTCACGCGCATCCCAGTCATACGGCACATTCGCACAACATGGCTGTAATATCTCAAGGTGGCAACTACATGGCAGTATCTCAGGCTATGGGTTTCCCCACGCAAAACACCTATGTGATTCAGCATCGAAGTGGTCGCTCGAGTACTCACACGCCATGTACTACCGCCACGAACTTTTACATTCAGACCGCGCCAATGTCTCACTCGCCCGCGCCAATGTCCCATTCGCACACGCCAACACCTACGCTGAATGCCAGCTCGACTAATCACCAGACACCCAACTCGTGTAGCCTAGCTAAGCTTCAGCAACTTACCAACGGTCTGGACATGCCGATGCCACCGACACCACCACAGGCAATGAATCTCACGCCCCCGCCACCGATACCTCACACCATGACGCCACCTCAGCCATCCAGGCAGCTATCGACGCCACCGCAAGTTCCGCTCAGTTATACCAAGAACTATTACAACGTGAATCCAGTGCCATCGCCCACAACTTCGGGGCCCCCGCCACCAAGTCGCTCGGCCTCAAGGTCGTCTGCGAGCGCTTCTATGACACCGATACCCCAGTCTTACTCGAGCGAGAGCTTGTACCGGCAAACGCTCGACCCGAGTGGCAGCTGTCCGCAGATGCAGAGCGCGGCGAGTCGTGTCAGTCCCAACGTTGCTCTAAACACGAACCTCATGGCGGCCCAAGCGGCCTACGGCTACCGAGTCGCTCAGCCAACTACTGGTTACATGAACCAGGCAGCTGCAGCAGCTCAGCTCGGTGGTTTTATGAATCAAGCGAGTCAGATACCCGTTGGCGTCGTCAACGTCGCGGCACCTTACGCCCAGGATCCGCACCAGCAGAACCCACCAACTGTATACACGACGTATCACGGCTACATCAACGGCGGCCTTATGCAGCCGTTGAATGGAACAATGAGGCCGCGCTAGCTCTTCCACTAGGACGAGGCCTCGAGTTGTCCGCGCTTTGCGTCCCAGCGTTCGACCAGCGCGTTCGTCGTACCTACGGTTTGTCAAAAGGACACGGGTGCCGATAACGTATTATTACCTCTTCAAAAAGATTAATTTAAGCTCCTGTTTTTTAATATAGTGACTATAGCGTCACGCAATTTATATTTGTGAATTTTAATGCCTCGTTATTGTTGCGTGCATCTTGCTCTTTCCCTGGAGGATGTATTAGCGTTGTGTTAACGTTTTTTTCTTCATCAACGGATTTTTAATGTTGTATAGTTGTGCTGACATCAAATATTTTTTTTTTTTTTTTTTTTTTTTTCAACTGAACAGATTCTAGTAAACACATTACGATCAAATTGAGGATACCACTGTGATCGCTTCTACCACAATATGTTCAGGTTAGTGTTCAGTAGTACTAACCACAACTTGACGCGGCAGATAATACGAAATTAATTAGTCGAAAGCACAATGAGTATCTATATTTTGCATGTATCATGAGATAAGGTCAGTTTGTTGACATCCCAGTAACTTCGATGATCAGAGCGACTGGAGAGGTGATACAAGTCTTGAAGTAAATAGTGTAAACCCTTAAAACTCTTGAAACTGATAAAAGGCAAATAGATAGTATTGGAATCGGCGCGATAATTATTATGTAGTTAAGAGCAAGACAATCGCACTTTTGCTGCTGTAGAATTCGTATGGCATTATTGTTGGAACAACCAGAAATCATTGTAGTATTATAAGTTTCTACCGGTTTCTACCACAGCCTCTGGAGCATACGCTACGACAATATTTTTTTAGTGCATCTTTAAACATCAGTTGGGGATGTATATTGCGCGAATGGTAAAACCAGACACAATAGACTAATGACATAAACCCAAACAGGCCATCGTTCGTGGATGATGACCACTACTGCACAAGAGCGTGATTTATTGTTCGCTCGCGAGAGCACGAGATTATTTCCTTTAGTGCATTCTCTACGTATCGAACTTTAAATGTTTCGCTGAGTTAATACCTGTAGATTTTATGATAAGATATTTTATTTTTCAAACCACAAAGTATATTTCTATTGATCGATGAAACATTAGATTTTAGAGTATAACTTACTACATTAAAGTCATCTCAGGGATAAACCATTACCTTGTATTCATTTTGTATGTACCAAAACCTATCGCATGGCTTCCCAATTTATTATTTTTCATCCAGCTCGAAGTGCACTTTGTGGTAGAATCACTTCGTTTACCAACACCACTATTTTTGTAACTGCCTGCGCTTTATCGTTCAGCACTAATTTTTCTTCTTCTTTGTTTTCAACAAAAGCTACTCTTGTATATATAAGGACAACTCACCGATAATTTATTACTTGTTCCGATCTCTGTTTCGTCAATTTCCCAGCACACAAACTAGTTACGATACATTTGATGNTTATTTTTTATTACTAAAGATATGCGAGAAAGTGCACACGTTTTGTGCGATAAAAATGATTATTAAAAGTAAATAATATATATGTATATAAATATTCCTGAATAAAAATGAAAAAAAAGTAATCATTGGTTTGACATGCGTTTCTGCAAATTGTCATGCAGGCTATAAGATATAAGTAAATAATGAAAATATAAAATTATTTTTTGTATTAGTGAGAATCGCGAAAAGAGTAAGAAAGAAAAGTCGTACGAGTGAAAGAGAAAGGAGAGTGTGGTGTACGTAAAACAGTAGGAGAAAGAGTGATGTAATTATATATTTATATATAGACCACTCGAGTACTCGTTTGTTTAGTTTTATTTTTTATTTTCATTTTTTTTTCAGAGTGAAAGAAAATACGGGTCAGATGTAGCATTTAAGCACAGTGCTAGTTAATTGTAATGTAACTTCTAAGCCGTAAGAAAAATTCTTCAAGAGTATAGTGTAAAAATACATCAATATTTATTGTACATAGATATGAAAAAAAATCTACTAACAAATAAAAAGTAATGAGATCGTAAAAATGAAAAAAAAATGAAAGAGATAGTCGAAAGTCTTCTTCTTTTCAACGACCTCGTTTGGCCACTCCTTTTCTTTGCCTGCCTGATTTTTTCAACCTTTTTTGGATAGAAAAAATATATATTAGCCAATTCCATCGTCACATTCATTTGTACCAAAATACCTTAGCTGTTAATCAAAGTTTGTACATGCAGTATCCAAGCAATTATACGTAAAGTAGAAAACAATAATTTAAAATTCATTAAAAAATCACCCTACGGTCTTCTCGCTCATTTTCGATAGCTCCTTACGACGCCTCTTTTCGATTTCTGCCAGCTTGAGATACTTGTCCTTTTGATAAGAACTCATGGCTCGCCAGCGTCTGCCGGCGACTTTTGCGAGCTTCGTCACCGGAACTCCGGGCTTCGCGCGACTTAGCCTCAGATAAAAGACGAAAAAAGGATTCGTACTGCTTATGTCTTCGCTGTTGGGGCTTAACGTGTAGTCGTTGCGCGCTTGACGTCTTGTATTTATTGCGACGAGATTTTTTGCGCTTAAACGGGATATTTGTTTATTTTTTTTGTTTTCAAATGAATGCATAATGCCAGGTACAATGTTGTTACCGATTACCTTATGATTTCTTTTATGATTTCCGGGTGTTGATCGCAAACACGCTTCGGTTTAATTATGACGTTGCCCATAATCGAACATCGCTCGGAGACTTTGAGACTTAAACTTACAATTTCTGTTCATTAAGTGAATCTTCATTGAATCACGGATTTTTGTATTATAGGTTCAAAACCTTAAATCTGTCAACAAATCGGAGTACAAAAACGTTTGTCTTTTTTTTTATTTTTTATTTTTATCAACCATTACCTTTACACACTGTAAGCGCGAATACTTACATTTCGAAGAAATTAATGTAAGAAAATAATTTTCCCTTTTACAAATACGCGTATTTGTTTCTGAATGTGGTTAATTTTATTTCAGAATCCTTTGTAAACTATGGAAAATTGATAAATTAAACAAAAATTTTTATCATTGTACCGTGATATAAATGTATTGAGTATAAATTATTTGATTTATGGATTCTTGAATACTTAGATTCTTAACATACTTAAATACTTACATGAAGCGGCGAGTAGACTCTATTCGAGCTCGTATGAAAATGTTCCACGTGTGTCGAACACTGCTCTTCACTACTACTAGTGACAGTGGGTGCCTGAGTGTGACTTCTACTCCTCGCCTAAAACAAGTGTTCATTCGTAAGTTTAAATTCTAAATTGTTATTAAACTTAAGCAAATTTGTTTACCAAGTGTTTACCCGACAGTATTTAAAATTTATTCTCACAAATTTTTCCTGTATTATAGATTTTATTTTTACTGTATATTACTTAAGTATGTAGAAATCATGAAGTAGTATTTTCCATGTGTCCCTATCATAATGAACAAAAAATTGTTGATATCTTTCTTTTTTTCTTAAATCCACTCGTTTGTTATTCTTCACTACGAATTGTGGCCTCATTAGTAGTTGTGTTATTTATGAAATCATATTTATTTTATTCAACGTAAACTTCAGATGTGTGAAAACTCAAGTAAATATATTTTTGAATTGAGGTTAAAAAATCTATTTGCTAATGGTTGCTTCGTTTTTCTTAGATACGTGCAGTTATTAATTAAAATACAGACTTATCAATAGTCGAAAATTGCGTATGACTAATGATATAGTCAAAAGAAAAAACTAGTTCATGAAAGCACATTAAGTCATGATGCAATTATCTGCATTATCAACTTTACTTGTATAGATTAGATTATACTTGATGATTAGATAAAGGATAAGATTTCTAATACTAGTATTACCCTCAAGTTATAATCTATGGGTTCAGTTTTTAGTTCAAGAGTAGTAAAGATGACGATTACACGTGAAGATGTGAAGAAGCTCATTGCCTCTGATAAGGTTGTGATTTTCTCCAAGTCCACCTGTCCATACTGTAAAAAGGCCAAGGAGGTGAGTCAGGCGTTTAATATTTAAATGTGAACTACAAAAAAAAAATACTTATAATGCAATGTTTTTGTAGATCTTTCAAAAACTTGAGCAGTCTTTTACTGCTATTGAATTAAATGAAGCGTACAAAAAGGATGAGATGGATACTATTCAGGACATTCTTGCAGAGATCACTGGAGCTAGAACCGTCCCCAGGGTGTTTATAAATGAAGAATTCATTGGGGGATGTAGTGATATCCAGCAATTAAATGACAGTGGTGCACTGGTCAAGAAACTGTAATCATCAAAATAATGTGTCTGCATTCAAGGGCTTTTCATAAAAGCCTTTTCTTGATTTAACCGAAGCATTTATTATGGTCTTGTATACTTATTTTGTTAATTAAAAAAAGAGAATTATTAAAATGTAATTATACAGTGCCTGAAGAAGGCTAATTTTGCCAATTACTGTGATTATCTTTATAAAAGAATGGATCAATAAATCAGGCAATTAAGATAAAGCTGACTTTTTTTAAGGGGGCTCCTTCACGAAAGTCCCCAAACAGAGATATATTATTTCTTGTAAATAAAAGTCTACTGAATTGAATGGTGGTCTAAATTATATTTCGAATGGGTCAAATTTTTGAGAAATCCGAGCTCAAAGTTGTAACTATTAGCACATGTTCCTATGGGGCAGCGTGAAAAACAATTTGTTTTCGTTTATAATAAACCTAAATTAAATGTCCCAGCAGACTGAATATATACGTTTTGTAGATGAAGTCTTCCTCTGTAATATGCTGTATTAAAAATTGTGGATAAAGGACCATTTTAGCGAGATATTTGTGATGGAAATAAATAAATAGTGTCCGGGAGGTCAGGAGGTCACGTGGGTAGCAGACGTACTTGTTCACGACATATATATACCATATACCTATATATTACATCGCTATACTACACCAACACAGGTGGTCTGGTCTGGTGGTGTACCCTCGTATGCACTAGACTGGTCAAAACAATAATTAATTTTTCGTACAAAGTTAAACTACAGACATAAATATCATTTTTCCCACTTCATACGTTATTAAAAATATCATAATGATTTTCAGACACATTTGTTTATTGAAAAACAAAACTTTATTTTTTGTTTGTCTTTGACCTCAGCAGTAGTCGTAGGAGCCCCCTTAAAAACGCCAACAATATACCTGTCCTAACTTTATCTACTGAGCGACTTTCAAATTATGCCGCGTCTACATCAGCTGGAATAATATTTTTTTTCACAAAAACCAAAAATAAAGAGCGCTCGCCCAGCCCCAGCAGACGAATAAGCATGTGTAAGGTATATATGCAAATGTTTGTGGCTGCCAAATTCGAAAAACCTAAAAATACGCATTAATGAAAAGTGAAACAGGTGAGTCTAGTCATCACAGTCAGCTGAGGCCATGGACATCTTCCAGTACAGGAAGGTCTTTATCTACGCCCTGACTTTTCTGGCGTATGCCTGGTCGGGCTACGGAGCCGGCCTACTGACGAATCTCCGGGATGCCGTGCTCGCAGCCGAGACCGTCTTCTCGGACCTCTTTGAGAACGCCATCACCGTTGCTCGTAAAATTCGGGACATACACGAAGTCTTCGACGCAGCGGTTGATGAGAATTGCGTCTACCACTGTCCGTCCGGTAAGTTATTGTTGATGTTGTATTATTTCACTCATTTCACTGTCTGATGCACAATCAATGTTAATCGTGCGCATATAACCTTTATATTTTTCAATTTTTAATAACACTTTTTGTAAGCGATGATCAAAATGATTCCATCGCCAAAATTATGAGAAACTATTTTCATGGTCCATATTCTGAGTTTTAATCAGCTGTCCATTCTTTCTAATGACTGCACGATTGGTGCGTTTGTTTTAAAGGCGGAATTTATAATTACAGGGGCAACTCCAAAAGCTGACTGGAATCACAAGCCTTCGTACGACGGATGTGGCTCTTTAGGCATTGATGTACTTACATATTTATACTTAAATACATTTTTCATGTACACATTTCTTTCATGTTTTAATTTCTCAATATATTGTATTTAATTCCAGGTTGATCAACAGTACCTTCCACTTGAACAAATGACAAAATGCTGCAATGATCACGATGTGTGTTATGATACTTGCAATTCTGATAAAGAGAAATGTGACTTGGAATTCAAGAGGTGTTTGTACAAATACTGCGAAGGCTACCAGTCGACTGGATTAACGATTGTAAATACATGCAAGGCAGCTGCCAAACTCCTGTACACAGGAACAACAACTTTAGGTTGCAAGAGTTATCTCGATGCTCAGAAGCAAGCTTGTTACTGTGGTAATAAAGCTAAAACTAAAAAACCAAAACGTGCTGCTCAAGCAGGTGGAGAATTGTAAAGTGACCTTTCACATTTGTCAATGTTGTACATAAGAATCAATTATTTCATCTAATTTATTTTTATATATGTATCAAACTATTATCATGTAATTACTCTTGTACATGAAAAAATTTGTTTCTGTAAAATTTACTACTGACGCGAACCAAAATATAATACAAACAATAAATGTATAAAATGAAAAACGTAGAAATAAAACAAAATTTTTTAGATCCATTTGTTTTCCGTAGATTATACGTTTATCCTACAATTTCAGTAGTTAGTAGTCTATGTACTTACAGTAAAGCCATTTAATCAATTATAAACCAGCCGCAACTAATTTTATGGATAGACAACAAAAAGTTGACATTTATTCTGCTGTTTGCTGCAAGTTTACAAATCATCTTTTATCCAAAAATCGACCTCTAAAAGTATAAATATTCTACTTATCTTATACCTATTTTAAAATTGACAATACTTCAGACTTTTTACCATTAACTTATAGAAGCGCAGCCCTTTAACTTTATAGTTCGAATAAACAGTTAACTTATATGTATAGTGTATACATAGCAAAATTTGTGTTACAGAAATCTCGAATATCGATCAAATATATACGTAAATTAAACAGCCTAAAAGAGACAATTAAAGAAAAAAGGACTAAAAGAAGCACAGGCACACGAAGAGTCTCCTAAGAATGGAGCATTGGATCTCGAGACGGTTGGGTACTTTGTTTATTTATAACACTTAAAATTTACTTCTCCGTAATAAATGTATTTTTTATTTAGTAAGATCCAATGCTCCATTCTTAGGAGACTCTGCTTCCATGAGTTAATGGTAAAAGGTCTAAAGTATTGTAATTTTGTAAATACAGTCGATTTTATAAGCCATATTTGATAAATAGAATGTTTATGGTTTTGGAGGTCTATTTTCGGGAAAAAGACAAATTGTACACTTGCCGCAAAAAGCACAGAACACGTCAACTTTTTATTTGATATGAATTGAATTAGTTGCGTCTAGTTTATATGTGATAACATAGCTCTACTGTAAATAGTAACAATTATTTGGATCAGCGCCATCTAGCGTTGCGGATTTCTGAACTGAAAAGTGGCCCTAAACTTTTGAACCAGAGCTTTAGCGCCTAGAGCCATTTAATCAATTATAAACCAGCCGCAACTCATGATGAAGCTATAAAATGAAAAAATAACGATACATATGTTTTTGGCGGCAAGTTAAAAATCTATCTTTTGCTCGAAAATTTATCTTCAAAAGTATAAATACATAGGAGGTCGATTTTTGGTAGAAAATAGATTGTTAACTTGCCGCCAAAAACACATATATCGTTATTTTTTCATTTTATAGCTTCANCCAGGGATGCAAAATCACTTAGATCAGCCGATCAGCGAGACTAGAAGTTAACCGAGATACCGAGAACGAGATTTAGAATTTAATTCGATCCCCTTGTGTCTTTGCTTCTACTCTCACTAGATAACACTGACTCAAACTCACCCAACTATACCTACAGTTGGTCTGGGTTGAATCTACACCACCTACTGCTATGGTAATAAGGGGTGTTTTCCGCAATCGTCACCATAGGTTTCCACCATCATTACCATAGCATAGAAAGTAATTTTGGGGTGTGTTCTACGTTATCGTTAGATCGGTAAGTCGTATATGCGAGGGATAGATACTTGCTGGTGACGATCATGCAGCGTTACCACGACCTATATATACGTACCTAACTTAACTGCTGATGGCAGCATTTGCGCATCACAGCCTCTGATTTTATCATTCTGGTAAAGAGAGAGCACGGTGTAAGATATACGTGGAGTGTTATGTGTAGTAATTATAGTAATCACTACTAAGTAGTGCCATGAGGTCGATTTTACTAAACTATGTGAGTATCTATACTTTTAGAGGTCGATTTTCGGGCAGAAGATAATTTGTAAACTTGCCGCAAACAGCACGAACAATGTCAACTTATAATTGTCTACGTATAAAATTGGTTGCGGCTGGTTTATATGTAATAAAATGGCTCTACTGTAAATTGTAATAATTACTTGGATCAGCGCCATCTAGCGGTCTTTATTTTTTGGCCAAAAGTGGCTCCTAAAATTCTCAATCAGAGCAATCAGGATAAGAGCCATTTAGTCAACTATAAACCAGCCGCAACTCAAGAAAAAGCTATAAAATGAAAAAATAACGATATATGTGTTTTTGGCGGCAAGTTAACAATCTATTTTCTACCAAAAATCGACCTCCTATGTATTTATACTTTTGAAGATAAATTTTCGAGCAAAAGATAGATTTTTAACTTGCCGCCAAAAACATATGTATCGTTATTTTTTCATTTTATAGCTTCATCATGAGTTGCGGCTGGTTTATAATTGATTAAATGGCTCTAGGCGCTAAAGCTCTGGTTCAAAAGTTTAGGGCCACTTTTCAGTTCAGAAATCCGCAACGCTAGATGGCGCTGATCCAAATAATTGTTACTATTTACAGTAGAGCTATGTTATCACATATAAACTAGACGCAACTAATTCAATTCATATCAAATAAAAAGTTGACGTGTTCTGTGCTTTTTGCGGCAAGTGTACAATTTGTCTTTTTCCCGAAAATAGACCTCTAAAAGTATAGATATTCTACTTATATGTTTTAATATCGACCACATGGCACTACTTAGGATTATACTATAATTACTACACATAACTTTATTTATATCTTATAACGTGCTCTCTTTACCAGAATGATAAAATCCAAAGTAAATATATGTATAAAGTTAATGTGTATATATATGTATATGTTGAACAAATCTCTTTCCCACGTAACGATGTAACAAGTATAAGCTGTATAACTGAAGTAAACAAAATAGAAACCGTCTGCTTTGCAACTTGTTGTGTCGTTGTGTGGCGTGCTTTTGTGCACTCGTATGTGTTTTTGTGCGTTCTTCTGCGTTTTTATGTAGATGAAGTGGTATTCCGTAACTAGTTTGCTGTACGTGTACATCACTTACAACATAATATTAAGCTCACACAGGGAAAAAAAGTTACGGAAACCTATTACCACCCCAGGCTTCCGTAATTTGCCCTTCTGCTAAGGGGTCGGCGGCGCTTCATTTACATATAAATATGTATATTTTTTTGAGCCGGTTACAAAACTGTAATGTATATAAAGTCTCAATGCGATTGATAGAGCTCAATATCAGAGATTCTTACAAAAGAAACACAATACTTGAATAAAATGTATCGTGTGTATATTTACGTGAGTCTTATTTAAATAAAAGTTTTACATGTACCACATTTTTAAGTCACCATAGCCTTTTGATTGCTTATTTTGTTGTAAAGTGTTTTCCTTTGTAATACTTAATTGTTAAAAATTGCTCTTCGGTGAATTACAAAACAAGAGATGTGATTCATTCTGGTTGCTACGCGTTTTATCAGAAAAGATACCAACAATCTAGCCGACAGAGTGTATATATGTATATATCGAAGGATGTCAAAAAAATGAGTGCATCGTCCGCTGGCAAGCTCGCCAGCCAATGTTTTTAGCTCAAACGGACTGATATCGCGTGAATAGGCAGTACGCGGGGCTGTGCCACCACTTTGGATGTTGTGAAACTCTTTGAATTGAAATTATCCAAGTTTTGTTATTTTTACTTTTTATTTCAAGTGGAAAAATATATTATATTATATTTCAACATACAGTACACATAAAAAAACATTATTAAACTAGCCGGCTTTATTAATTAATGTGATAAGTGATTGTGAAAGTTAACATATGTTGAGTTTCGAAAGTTTTTTTTAACAAGTATTTGATTAAAACAATACATTTTTAGATAAGGCTTGAAATTTATTTTTTAAAATGGAGCAAATGTCATTTAAAAAATTAAAATCTTTACTGGAGGAGCATGGCCAACAGCATCTCCTCAATTTTTGGAGTGAAATATCAGAAGATGAAAAAAAAGTTTTAGTAAAAGACATAGCTAATTTAAATTTATCTCAAGTGATTGCTTGCTTTGAAGAAGCAATGTCCATCCACCAGAATAAAGAAAAATTACCAGATGATAAAATTAAACCTGTACCTCCAAATGTGATGGAATCAATTTCCAATTTGACATCAGATAAAATATCATTTTACGAGAATCTGGGATTAAGAGAAATAGCTAATGGTAATGTGGCAGTAATAATCTTAGCAGGTGGTCAAGGAACTCGTCTTGGTGTTAATTACCCCAAAGGGATGTACAACATCAATTTACCATCAAACCGATCACTTTTTCATATCCAGGTCTTGCGAATAAGACGCCTACATGACATGGCCAGAGAAAAATTTGGAGAATGTAAGGATTTAACTTTGTACATAATGACAAGTGATGCCACTCATGAATCGACTTTAAGGTATTTTGAGAAAAATGATCACTTTGGCATTGACAAGAGTAAGATTGTTATATTCAAGCAAAATACTTTTCCCTGTTTCACATTTGATGGAAAAATAATTCTTGATGAGAAATATAAAATATCTAGAGCTCCTGATGGCAATGGTGGTTTGTATGAAGCTTTAAAAGACAAAGGAATGTTAAAAGACATGGATGAACGTGGCATACAGAGCATACATGTGTTTTCTGTAGATAACGTCCTAGTAAAAGTAGCAGACCCGGTATTTTTAGGATATTGTATTGCACGTTCTGCTGATTGCGGAGTTAAGGTGGTAGATAAACGCTCATCCAATGAAGCTGTTGGAGTTGTGTGCCAGGTAGATGGATTATTCAAGGTTGTAGAATACAGCGAAATATCAAATGCTACAGCAGAACTCGAAGATGAAAATGGTTTGGTATTTAATGCCGGCAACATATGTAACCATTACTTCACGGCGACGTTTTTAAATGAAATTTCAGAAAAACATAACAACAAGGTAGATTTGCACATAGCAAAAAAAAAAATACCGTTTGTAAATGAAAATGGCACAAAGTGTCAGCCAAGCGTTGCAAACGGCGTTAAAATTGAGAAGTTTGTATTTGATGTCTTTAAATATTCACAAAATTTTGTGGTATGGAAAGTTTTGAGGGAAAACGAGTTCAGTCCATTGAAAAATTCTGACTTGGACGAAATAGATTGTCCTCTTACAGCGAAAAGAGACATTTTAAATCTTCATGAAAAATGGCTGGTAGACGCAGGTGCTACCAACGTTGACGGTGACGTTGAAATTTGTCCATTATTGTCGTACAGTGGAGAAAATTTGGCACACATAGCAAAAGACAATTGTTTCAAGGGACCCTTGTGTTTAATGTAAATACACGCAATAATTTCTTACCGATATTTGTTTAATAAGCGGAGAAAAATTATCACATAAAGTGAATGAAAAATACTCTTAGGTAGACTGAAAATTAAAAAAAAAAAATGTCACCATAGCCATATTGTACTGATAATACATGCATATACACGGTTTTGGGTCCTTACTGGGAGCTTTTATAATTTTATAGGTAAGGGTACTTATATAATTAGGATAATTAGGGAGCTGTACTTAAAAATTATTGTTTTATTTTCTCTTACCAGTCTTCCAACATTTTTAAAAATGACCACAAGGTATTAGGTGTATAATTGAGATCATCACAATCGAGTGGTGCCAACATAAAACTACTTATACTTTTCAATCTATAATACTTATATATTAGTCTATGCATCACCTTAGATTTTTATTCCACAAGTAGCTGCAAATTATTTTTTATTATTGTTAAAATTTATTATTTTTTATTTACTGTTGCAAATTTTTGAATCCTTATTTTTTAAGTTTTGTAATCAATATTTTTGATAGTTTATTTTGTTAATATATCATGTTATACAACAGCGAGATAATATTATATGAAATTCATATATTATGTTAAACGACGAATAAATAATTAATTATTTCTGTAATGCTCTTGTTATGTACTTGGTGTTTAAAACAAATATTATTTACGCTGGTGAGCGGGGGGTACTATAAATATATAGATAGCACTAAATAAATGACGAAAACTACTGTTGCTCAGCGTAATAATCAAAATGAATTTATATTTATAAAAACACAATAATGTACATTTCCAATACGTATCAATAATTAGAGCAGACAATAATTTTACACATTTTAATCATTTAGTTGTGTTTGATGACCAGAAAGTTGTGTTTGAATTGTAATATACTACCATTTGTATTTTTATACGATTTTGGAAAAAAAATGTGTGGTAGAGTAAGTACGTAGTTTTAGTACCACCGAGTTTTATTTGTACCGCATCATCTTTTGTAAATCGGGCAATGAGTAAAATTTTATTAACATTCGAATGTTGTAAAATTGATTTTCGACTTGGAATTGTTGATTAAACGAGGTGCCATTCATACACAGCTATACTTACGGCTTTTTTTTCACCAGGACGGTGGCCTATTCGTGCACAGGTGATAGCCCTATATATTATGTACAAGCAATCAATTTATTTCGTGTTACTCATACAATACATACGTATATGACTATTTATTTACTTGGTTAAAGGGTTTTTATAACTTTTTTGTTGTACTCTTTATAAATAAATGAATAAAAAAAAAAAAAAGAAAATTCTCCTTGTGTGCTCAATCAACCCCTTCGTGGGGTACGTCTGGAGGTACAGAGGAGGACATAATGCGGCATCAGGTGTAATTCGTGGTAAGGATCCTCGGATGTGCCGTTGATTTGGAAGAGTGACCACACAAACCGGTTGCGATAATCGTTAGAAAAATCTCGAAACTTACAGAATTTGAAATTTAACATTAGTACATGAATAATAAGAGAAAGTACATTTTTTTTCTTTTCATTGAGATGCAGATGTAATGGATGATGTTGTACTTTTTAATGTGTACGGTAATTCTGTAAGCAATACCCGTTGGCTTTAACTAGATTTCTTATTTTTTAAAATTTTTACCACTTGGATTCAAACATTGACAGAAACAAAAGTAAGAATCAATTCCATTGCCCCTTAAATATCTTCGTGCAGGTTTCACCAGAGTGAATCTTTACATGTCGAATAAATACAGCAAACGGTTCTCACCTTTTCTCAATTTGCTGTGTATATCTATTTTGTATTTCGGATGGTTTCATATACGTATACTATACTTGGTGACGCTCCTCAAGTTGTCGTTGAAGCCCTGAAGAAAGAAAACATGCGATAAAGTAAATAACGATGCATTACAAATGGGTAAACGGTAACCATTGTAGGCTCATATATAATGCAATCGACCTCTACGTGAGCGCGAACGCAGAATAGTTATGTTAAAAGGAATAGTAGTTTTCGTACGCGTTTTTAAAAATTAATTTCTATACAAATGAATAATAAACAGTGAATTTTATTCCGATTATTTTATTCATTACACATATGGATTCGTGATAATTACTTTAGACACATTTTTTAATACATATTTTTATGCACGTAATAATACAATGATGATTACAGAAAATTAATTATCAATGCTATGATGCAAAACTTTTGAGTCTTACAATTTTTAAAATATATCAACTAAATCTGCAAGTAATATTCAATTATTGATACACTTTTTAATTTATGTTACATCCATCGCCAAACTTATTTACTCAGAGAGTATCATGTGTAATATATACGTGTGTACTTAAATTTGAACTATCTTATATTAGTCTTTTATCGTTTAATACACTTATATATATATAACATTTATAAAATATTTTTATTTGATTGAATCAAAGTAGCGACACGTAAAAAAGTTGTTGAGTAAATTGTTTCCATAACTTAACGAGTAAATACACAGTTTTTTGAATCTTGATAAAAATATCAATATGTGTTCAAATGCATCAAATGATGTTAGTGTAATTTTCAAAGTAATAATCAAATTTTAAAAATTATGGGTTTTTCAATTTTCCTTTTTCAAGAAAAATACTTCATACAAACGTAATCATGAAATATGTAGGATTTTTATCGATAATTTTATTTATTTAATTTTTTGAAAGAGCAGTAAATAGAGTAGGTATGTAAAAATAACGTTACTTACCATATTCATGTATTTATTTATACTGAAATTTTGGTGTATAGTTTGGTGGTGCTTTTCGTCGGACGTAAACGCGACGTTTATAATTATATATACTCTAGCTCCAATGGACAAAATAGACACGTCTCATATCGAGTATAACTGTGCACATTTCACGTCGAATAGCAACAACTAGATGCAAAAAAATTGTTGCAATCGCTGAACATTAATTTTTATAACATTAGTCTATGACACATGCTTTTTGTTAATGTACGCGGTTCAGCGTTAGGAGTGTATATATATATATATATATATCGATGCTCAGAAGCAAGCTTGTTACTGTGGTAATAAAGCTAAAACTAAAAAACCAAAACGTGCTGCTCAAGCAGGTGGAGAATTGTAAAGTGACCTTTCACATTTGTCAATGTTGTACATAAGAATCAATTATTTCATCTAATTTATTTTTATATATGTATCAAACTATTATCATGTAATTACTCTTGTACATGAAAAAATTTGTTTCTGTAAAATTTACTACTGACGCGAACCAAAATATAATACAAACAATAAATGTATAAAATGAAAAACGTAGAAATAAAACAAAATTTTTTAGATCCATTTGTTTTCCGTAGATTATACGTTTATCCTACAATTTCAGTAGTTAGTAGTCTATGTACTTACAGTAAAGCCATTTAATCAATTATAAACCAGCCGCAACTAATTTTATGGATAGACAACAAAAAGTTGACATTTATTCTGCTGTTTGCTGCAAGTTTACAAATCATCTTTTATCCAAAAATCGACCTCTAAAAGTATAAATATTCTACTTATCTTATACCTATTTTAAAATTGACAATACTTCAGACTTTTTACCATTAACTTATAGAAGCGCAGCCCTTTAACTTTATAGTTCGAATAAACAGTTAACTTATATGTATAGTGTATACATAGCAAAATTTGTGTTACAGAAATCTCGAATATCGATCAAATATATACGTAAATTAAACAGCCTAAAAGAGACAATTAAAGAAAAAAGGACTAAAAGAAGCACAGGCACACGAAGAGTCTCCTAAGAATGGAGCATTGGATCTCGAGACGGTTGGGTACTTTGTTTATTTATAACACTTAAAATTTACTTCTCCGTAATAAATGTATTTTTTATTTAGTAAGATCCAATGCTCCATTCTTAGGAGACTCTGCTTCCATGAGTTAATGGTAAAAGGTCTAAAGTATTGTAATTTTGTAAATACAGTCGATTTTATAAGCCATATTTGATAAATAGAATGTTTATGGTTTTGGAGGTCTATTTTCGGGAAAAAGACAAATTGTACACTTGCCGCAAAAAGCACAGAACACNTCAATGGTCTCGGCAAATATTTTCAACCATACATTTGTTGATTAAAAAAGCTATTGCTCTTACGTTTTATTATTAAAATTGTTACAGAACATACGACACGTATACAATACAATTGTTTTCTAAGTCTACCAAACTAATGTTAAATTTTTGCTTCAACATTTCTCATCAGCAAGTTTTTACAAACCAAATGAATTTTCATCAAAACGCTCATCTTACAGACTCACGCTCCAATTAGGTGCTTTCATGTCACATGTACAATTACATTAAATACATTATTCTTTTTGTTTCCTCTTCTTTTTTTTGTACTGTATTTGTGGTGTACAATTTTTATTTTGTTTGATTCAAGTTTATTCGTACAAAACAATCAGTAAAAAAAAACAAGGGAATAACAGCGTGGAACGAGGAAAGAAAAAAAAATACGCCACGAAATCGGGTTACACGAAAGCTCGACTAAATTTCTCGGTATAGTAACGACATAGAAAGTAAAAGACCGATCATACGGTAGTGTAGTTGCGTACATCGTTTTAGTAGCGACAAGTACAATATAACTACACATTGTTCGCAAATCGGCACTTACACGACGAGAGAATGAAAGTACAAGTAATAGATGTAATAAAAAAAAAAAAAAAAAAAATTTCTCCCACAATTGATTTGCACCGAACTCAGTGATAACGTGCACCCGCTCAGCAATCAATGGTCGTAACCATGTTTATTTTCTCTGATCCGAGGAACAATATGATTAATCATCTCAATATGGGTATATGTATGTATAGGTTTGTGTGGACGTGCGGACTGAGGGCCTATATATACCGATGTATCCTCTCCCCTATTAAAAAAAAAAAGAAGAAAACACACAATCGCACAACCCGATGATCTATAATTGGTGGGTTTTCCCTTAGTTGTGGGTCATGAAGCGAAGGGCAAAGATCGCGTTGACCAGCACAAAGAGGATCGACGCCGAAGTGAGCCCAGCAGAGTTCGGGCCGCGTTCCACGGTCTCGTACATCGACTGGAGCAGCGGGTAGTTTCGGTTGTTCCCGTCGCGCCGGTTGTAATTGTAGTTGTCGCTGACCCCTCGTCTCCCGTCGTTGCTGCAGTCCCCTATGTAGTCGTCCATGTCCAAGCTGAAGGCCATCACGCCACCCAGCCTCTGGCGCAGGGCCAAGCTCGTCTGCAAATTTACGCTCGCGTCAGTGTTTGTACACAACGACCAGGATATCGCATAACAAAACGTCTATTTCACTTCCCAAATCATTTTATCCGATTATATCGATGCATTAAAAAATGGCCCAACATTTTAAAGGAGTATTTTTAGAGTCCAACGCAAACAGTGTGCGCTTAAGCATGTATTTCAGTGAAATTCAGAGGGGGGAAAGGGAGAAAAACCCCATCGATCCTTTTAATAATGTGTATATTATACCTTTTCCTTGACAGATTGCGCGTCCTCGTAGACGATGGCCGCCATGTCCTTGACGATAAATGGCACCTTGGCGTCCTCGTCCCAGCCTCGTCTCCAGCCGTGCTCGTTGCTCATCTTTTGGCAAACGTCGCGATACGACAGTACCACGTTCTCGGACGGGGCGTGCAGGTTCACGTAGTCCTTGTTTATCGGGCTCTCCTCGCCCCGCAGTTCCTCCTTCAGCTGGTACTTTTTCCCGTAAAACGGCACGACGAGCACCAACTTGTACGAATGGTGCTGGAACAACTGCTTCGCGTCGCTTATCGTCTTCTCCTGCACGGGATTAATACACGTTATACATATGTATAAATGAATAATATGCCAATCTAATGTGTAAGAGCCATACCACGCCGAGACGCTCACGGCCGCGGATGGGAGCGTTGGCCCCGATGCGGTTGGACCAGTGCCCGTAGTACTCGAAAGCCATGACGAACCAGTAGTCGACCGAGTCCATCATCACGTTGTCCACGTAGTCGTAGCCCTCGATCACGTTCTGCCTGAGCGGCGACAGGCTAGCCGTAAGGACCTTGGCGTCATCCCTGAACGCTATTTTCAGCTCCTGGTGACGTTAAATATGCGTTTTGTCGTGCACTTTCATCCCGAGATCTCAAATTTTTTTGGGAAATCGGAAGACATATACAAAGGGTGATAATTACCTTCATCAGGAGGCCAAAGTTTTGTTTGTCCTCCGGTTTGCCGCCCCTTCTGGTCGGGTACTGCCAATCGATGTTCATACCGTCGAACTTGTGCCGCCTGTGTATACATCATTGTCATGGTGGTGCAAGAGATCCATTATGATTATTTTTACATGTTTACACGTGCATGTACAAAGACATAAAGAGCATATTATACATAACTATCAAAACGCTAAATAAGTAGCACGTCATCGCATGATCGTTCGTTCAATGCGTCACAACAATCAGTAAATAACAAACAACGTCAATTCCATCAAACGCGTGTGTGTACGTATTCTATACATATAATACATTCCTCGAACGTCACGGGCATGCTACGTGTATGATTGTGAAAAATTATCCAAAAGTGTATATATGTATATGTATGTGTGTATAGACATTCGCATGGCACATTCCAATATTGATTCGTTGTACGAGTTACCTGAGGAATTCTTTGGCATTTTTGGCGAAATGCTCGCGGTGGGATCTCGCCATGTTGGAGAAATCGATGGGCGAGCCGCTCACCGATATCAATATCTGTAGATTACTCTTGCGGCGCGCAAGCTCTGTAATTTCGTCGAAAGATATTTTATTGCCTGCAAATCAACACACCCAAGCTAAGGAAAACGCATGACGATACGCGTGTTTTTTTTGTTTTTTTTTTTGCACGCATAAACTATTATTATTATTATTATTATTATGATTTGCGTTCAACGTGGATGCAATAAATGAAGAAAATGGCATTGGCCGTGCACGGGCATGCACAATGAAAATAAGAGAAAAATTGGTGAACATCGACGTCAACACAATCTATAATGTATAAGTGCATGGGTGTTGGGTTATTGGGTATACCCACCACTTCTGCCTTGCTCCATGTCCTGGTTGATGGCTCGGATGGTCCATTGGTTCGGCTCGAGGACAGCTGCGCCATAGACCAAGTGCGTGCAAAGGTCGACCTTGACGTGCTCGATGCTGAAATAGTTGTTCTGGTAGGGATTCCGGCGAGCCTGGTTCTCCAGCCTACTACCGTTGATGTAGCAAAACACGGCCGTCTGGTTCTCGTTGGCCATCATTCGGTGGTTGCTGTTGTAATCGTCTGCAATCAACATTTCGTACAATAATCGCAACCCTGGGTTGGGGGGGAAGAAAAGAAAAAAAAAAAAAATTGACGAGCGTAGGTATTTTTCAGAGCGCGCGCATGTCTCTAATTTGTTTTAATCAGATAGGAAGAGCGCCGGGACGAGAAAGGGGCACGAATTCTTCGCTGCCGTTGGATTTAATTACCATACTCGCGTTATCGTTATTTTTTTTTTTTTTTAAATATTATTATTATTGTCGAGTGCCTAGAGTAATCAAGAACGGCAATTGTCTTAAATCGAGTTTATGTACGGTTGGTGGGAGGATGTACGTTTATAAGTAAGTCATGGTCGGGGAATTCGTGCATCGGGTCTTTTTTTTTAAATGTGGGCCGTTGGTTGCTGGTTTTTTCGTTTCAATTTTTCTAAACTCCGCGTTACACGCGTCGCGAGACAAATTGTGGAATCGGATGGTTGGGACGAGAGTGCGAACGTGATTAATTACGCGGGATTCCGTGAATTAGTTGGAAGGAGCGAGGCGCGCGCGTCGGATGACGGATAACCGAGGTGTTACTCTTCCGGCAGAGCTGAGATGTACTTTTTCGCGTGTATATGTTCCAAAGACAGGGACAAAGAGAGGAAAACAGAGCCTTAACAATGGCTCAAGCGGTAAACAGGATGAATTACGTTTTTATCAGCTTAATTGTCGTAAGTTTGCATATTTTACATTTTAAACAATGCAAATCACGAAATTGCCCTTGGTTGGGTTTTTTTTTTTTTTTTTTTTTTAAATTTTGTCGTTGAGTTCATGACCCTTGAGATTTTTCAAGTAAAAGCACAAATCAAGCCAAATAATTAGGGTGTTTTTTAATTTTACCAATAAATAACTGAACAGTATGGAGTAAAGAATTTTTTGTTCTTAAACATTTTTGTTCTTAGCTTTCAAGATTCCGATGAAAGGGGGCACAATTTGATTATGCAGGTGTTTCAAAGTAATGAGAAAAAATTATTAGAAATCCAACGTTGCTATCGCGGCTCGGACGAAAAAAAAAGAAAAAAAAAAAACTCGCGCGCAAAGATAAATACCCAAAATACACGCACTAAAGTGTGCACGAGTATAATCGCAAGGCCATAACAAATCATACAATGGAAAATCCTCGGGCTTTATTGGTTCTATCCCCCTCATCTCGCAAATGTACAAGTGCCGTGAATCACGCGAGGCGGTAATGAACCTCGCGCTCTTCGGACGGGGCACGAATAATCCAGAACAAAAAATCATGCATACATACGGTATAATTATATACAAGTGCAATACACATACATGTATATATTTATTATACACCCCTCCCTTTTATTCTTTCTAGCTCCGTAATTGACGGTTTCTCGACTCGGGTCAGTTGCCGCGATCTTACGCAACCCCCTCGATTATAACATATATATCCAGCTCGCGTTACCCCCATATTATACGCGGGGTAGGAATATCTACAAAACACCCGCGTATAGGAGCGGGCGCGCGTACACCCTCCGTTTGTGCGATCGATCTTACGGTTTGCTTCCTTTTTCTTTGCTCGCCTTGAATTTCGCTTTGCGTTCAGGCCCCTACTTTTCATACTTTCAATCGCCATCAGTTATTTTCTACTGTAGACATATTTGTGAACGTCAAACAATCAAGTCACGGGGCACCAAGTTGATTCTTGCTTCGAGAGAGACGTCGTGTTTCAATTTAGCGAATTGCCCGTCACGTAGAGAGGACGGACTGGAAAAACGGGGTAATGCAATAATTGCTTCCTTAATTATGCGCTACGTCGAGCAGTTCTTATGAGGATATTGTTTTTATTCAACGTCATTGATATTTCTTTCGTTATCTTTTTTTCCTTTTCACTCCACAAATGTATCCAAGAAGGATGGGAGCGAGCGAAGAAGCCCCGTTTGTCCACAGACGTGGGACCTTTATTTCACTTTGGCTCCCTACAGCCGATACGTAAATGTGTACTATTTCAACAATATATTTTCAACCCACAATATTATTTATATTGATTTTGCAAGAAACATCACTTTAACGGTACGAGGAAGCTCCCACAGTTAATAATGTATATACGATAAAGAAAAATAATCCTCAAAGTAAACTTTTTTTTTTTTTTTTCGTAGCTCACCCTTATATAATATCGTATACCAATATAATACAGGTAGGTAATACTCGTTAAAATATGACTATACCGAGCAGATGGTAATCGGTTCACGTGTATACGTACATATATTTGTACCATGTATAGTACGTTTGACAATGAAAGACCATATACGCGTGTGCATGCCAAACAGAGTGTGCCGATGTAACAGTCGATGAAGAAAATAAAGAAGCGCGTGGTACGCCCACGGATGGATAATGCACGACGTATCGATGCTCAGTGGTGGCGGGACATATATTAAACCGAGAAGAACACCGCCACCAGAGAAATCATCGAAAATTATCGGGGATGTATATTTTCTTCTTTTCGATAATCCATATACTTGGAGGACCCGAGGGATATACCACAAACTTGCTGTCGTTATACCGATGGGCACTATCGATTTGGTCAAGAGAGAAAACATGTTGGCGTTGTGGGGAAAAAAAAAAAAAAAGAAACAAAGTAAAAACGATGACCCAATAGTCAATCACCCGCAACCATTAACCTCGAAGCTGACACAGAAACAAACATCTCTGTAATGTTGCTCACGTTAACGCAAATACAGATGAATCCCCGATGATCAAGGGATCATCCACGAAAAACGTACAGGGTATCGCCCTGGGAAGCCCCGTATCGCTTCCTGAAAGAAGATATTATATACGTAGCGGGAAGACAAAGGACACGAGCCGAATGTGGTGCGTAAAAGTACGTACTACTAAGATATACCGGGAACAAAGAAAAAACCAACATGTATTATATTGTGTGCGAAACAACGCCGTTGGGCGCAAATCTCGCGTAATATATATGTCTCTCGCGTGCGCGTTTACGGTGACAGAGAGTTTTGCCGCGACGAGGGATTCGAGTGGGCGTTACGTCACACTTTCAGCCTCGTCGCCCCCCTCTTTGGCTTTTGCTCTTTTTTTTTTTTTTTTTTTTTTTTTTTTCCACACGAGGTGCCTCATCCCGGCATCATTCAGGATCTCTCGCGAAAGCAATGCATATTTTAACGTCTTTTCGCTAACTTTGCTTGATGTACGTACCTATACGCCTCTCTAATAAACTCTACAGAGCCCCATATACTTACGCATGTCAGAGCTATTAAAAAAACACCCCCTCGTGAGATAATTATTTGAAGCATCAATCGGATCCCCATCCCGATATCCATAGAAATCGGCTGAAAAACTTACTCATCCGCTTCCACGTAGTGGGGATTTTCTCTCTCTCTTTCACTCAAAATAAACAGGGACAAATACGGTATCATCATCATCATCATCAACCCCCGCACAATGTAATGTGCGCAACGCAACAACGGAATCTCTAATTCAATAGGACAGAGAGAGAGAGAGAGAGAAATCGGTATATGTGAGTCAGTTTGGCGAAAAGGAAAAGGGGGATGCGCGCGAGCGTAACGCGAGGGGGTAGAGATTTGGGAAGAAAGAGGCGGGTAACGTTAACTTCCGCGAGTGACGATATACCCTGTTCTCGTAATACAGTGCGGGTGTGTTACGCATATACGTGTATATACATGACAAAAGCGCGGGAGATGAACGATGATGATGATGATTACGTCACGCTCACCGTGTGTGTATATTTATACTTTGGTTCTCTTGCATTTACAGGCAATGGGGAAGAAGAAGAAGAAGAAGAAAAAGCTGCGGGGGCTCTGTGACTTTTGGCGCGCGCGCGATGCGTCAGACACACATTGGGTATGAAATTTATCGGCGGGCAGATGCGTACACGTATGACGTCAGGGGGTCGAGTGTTTTGTACATACAATTGGGGCTGTGCGAAAGGGATGTTTTTTTTTTTTTTTTTTTTTTTCATGCGAATCGCTCTTGCGCGTGTGCTTGAATTTCAATCGGTTCGATCAAAGCGCTGGGATTGCTTCGGACTTGGGATCGATTGGCAGAGGTGGCATTTTATGTTGGTCTGAGACCGTTATCTCGTTGACTTTGTTGTGGAAGCGAACCAAGTTTTCGTCACCTCTGGAAACTGGGACCGTACCCTATACTATTATTTTTTTTCTTTAATTTTCTTGTCTTTTTAAGAGACCACGCGCTGATCAAGCCGGCCGGCACTAATGTTTCTCCGGGTTTTCACTGTCGTTAAGGCAACAATAACCTTATTAAGGCTAATCATCCATCTAGTTTTCTCTCTTAGGTCGTCAAGATGCTCTTGAAAAATCATTCGAGTCGTATATCTGCCGACGCGGTGCGTGGCTGTGTGGATGACTCGACATTTTATGTGCCACTGTATACGTATATTATACGTATACTTCATAGAGTTCGGGCGAAGACGTGAAGTAATATTGTACCTACTTGGGTTATTGTCGAAATTAGGAAACGAGGCTACACGACTACGGTCGAACGATCGTATTACACGCGCGCCCTCCATCTGGTGCACGGTTTTTTTAGATCATCATGTGTTTCACTTAAGCAGGTTTTTGTTGATTTTTGTTTAAAATTATCCCTTTGGCGTATAAGCTAAGTTTATACATATACCATCACAACACTCGGACAATCATGGGCTTTTTTCGCTCTCACACATATGTATACATTTATACGTTTTGAGGGCAATGTGTATTCGTTGATCTTTTGGCATGGCACGTTACATTAAGTGGTGAATCGCCGAGGAGAATCTTTAATTGAGCTAGATTAAACAATTTCTCGAGTGTACGAAAGCTTCGCTAATACGCTTCCTTCACCGGCTCTCTCTCTCTCTCTCTCTCTCTCTGATTGGACTCTGAATTTGGCATCGTAAATTGAAATAATTTTGTCAGACATGATAAATATCCTCCTTTGATAACCATCAAGTTTTATAGTTAAGGGAAATCCTTTTTTTTTTTTTTTTCATAA